TGGTGGGGGGGGGGGGAGGAGGGCTAAAAATTCAGTTGCACATTTACAAAACTGCTTTTTAACATACCTATTGCTGTATTAGTCATAATTCTGAGGTTCTGCTGTTTCTACTTGTTTTATCAAGAGTAAACATTTGATTAACGAGTCACATATTAAATACTTTCAAGTCCCAGCTGTATTAAAACTTCTGACTTTTCTTTAAACTTTCACAAATTAATTTTCACTTTGAATTTTAAACTTTCACAAATTATAAACTTTTTAACATACCTATTGCTGTATTAGTCATAATTCTGAGGTTCTGCTGTTTCTACTTGTTTTATCAAGAGTAAACATTTGATTAACGAGTCACATATTAAATACTTTCAAGTCCCAGCTGTATTAAAACTTCTGACTTTTCTTTAAACTTTCACAAATTAATTTTCACTTTGAATTTTAAACTTTCACAAATTATAAACTTTCTTCACTGAAAAGGGGAATCTACAATCTATAAAGCTATTAAACAGAAGGGGAATGATATCTTGAGATCTATCTTGAGGAAGAGTACATGTAACTTCCTGCAGACTTGTAAATCTTCCTCCAACTGACTTGCAACTTGATGTTGAAAAATTTTGGCTTACAAATGTGCAAATACAGTCATGCTAGAGACAAATCTGTCACAATGATTTTGTGGTTGAGGGTCCTCTCACTAGTCTTAGTTTAAAGTTGATTAGTGGCGCGAGTTGGCCTTTAAAACTTTTAGTAAATGGCATTCTACTATCAGGACATGTACCACTAACATTACAAGTCATTTTAAGACTAACTGAATTCTTGACATGCCATTTCTCTATGGCAAACAAAATAAGATTGTCCTGAAACATTCTTAAACTAAGCTTATATGAAATAAAAACCAAGTTAACTTTTTTGTTTTAAAACTTTAGAGTCTTTGTGAGAAGTACCCAGACGTAGTATTTCTTGAAGTTGATGTGGATGATGCTCAGGTAAGATGTTCAAATAATACACCAACAGAAAATACTGTGACACAACTTCTGCATTCTAACACTGGGAAACATGTCTCCTAAACTTGATGGCAGTTGCTCACAAAATGGTCAGTGTGTGCAGCAGTGATTTAAAGCAGTGGTTCCCAACCATTTCCAGATGGAGACACATTTTGACAATTCAGGAAGACTTGGTGACTGAAGACAATTCAAAAATGGGGGGGAGGAAGGAGAGCAGAGCCACCTGGGGAGACACTTGGTGATCCTTTTGAAATGTAATGGTGACCCATATTTAGGTCCTGACCCATAGGTTGGGAAACCCTGACTTAGAGCAAGCAATTAGATTGTTTTTCTAAAAGGGGTATCTCGCTCCTCCCCACCTCCACCCCAAGAAATACTAAAGCATTGTCATGTACTCTAATTCCTAACAAACTCTAATTGACAAGAAATTGGTCTACCTGCTAAAATATCTCAATTCTGTAGCCCAGGGCTACTCAACTTTGGAAGCCCCGAGGGCCACAATGATACTCACAGCACATACCAAGTACCGCATCTTAAGTGTTGCTGTGTGTGTGTGTATGTATGTATGCAAACTGCTTCTTTCACACAGTGCTTCCAGCACTTCCTCCCTTGGGGCTAGAAACACTGACACCCTGTACCCATCTGTTCCAGCCAGCCCCTCCACTTGCGTCTTTCAGTGCTTGCCCTGCCTGGGAGACACCTCCCCATTGTGGAGCATGTTCCCAGTGGAGGCCATGTTCAAAGGATCCCACCTGTGGACCATGTTTTGAGCCCGATGTGTGAGCCCAGTGTGTAAGCCCATGGTCCATGTGTTGAGTAGCCCTGCTGTACCCTTTCAGATCTAAAACTCCTGTAAATTTGTTATTCTCATGCATGGAAGACAAATACCAAGAATGTCTTTAAAAATCTGTTAGTAAGATTTATATAATAGGTGGAGTCCTGTCTTCTTAAAGTGTAAACTTAAATTTGTTTTCAGATCATCAGGGGATGTTTTATGTTCCTAAAAGCCCATACAACAGGTTTTCAGCTGATCCTCTATAGCAGTCAATTGAATTCTTAATATCCCAGCCCATTGCATTCTGGGTTTTTATTATTCTTCCTGTGAAGCATTGGGGGTGGCTATTGCTACAGATGGGACATTGGATGGTAAGGTCTTAGGCAGTGTTCCCTCTAAATGTGTCAGTGTGCAGAATGAATTTTATGTGCACCAATATGGAGCTAATGTATCACTTAAAAGTAATTCTGCACACTGGGGGGGTGAGGAGTTGGGGCAGAGGGTTGCCATGTGGGATAAGGGCTGTAGCTGCATGGGAGTGGGATTTGTGAGCTGCCTAGGCCTGTAATCATGGCCCAGGCAGCTCTGGTTGGTTGGTTTCCAGCCCCTGGAAGGTGAGGGGGATTGTGATGGGGTAGGGGCAGTGTATGATGTCCTCTTTGAGGAGAGGGTGAGACGGGCAGGAAGCTTGACTGAGGGTCCTGCTGGGCTGCTGGCCAGGAGCTGCTTAGGGTAAACACCACCTGGCCAGAGCCTGCACCAGACACCCTAACCCCTCCTGTGCAGCAGCTGCAGGTCACATCCCAAACCCACTGCATGCCCATCCTTGTTCACAACTTCTTCCCAGACTCTGCACCCCGGTCTCCTATCTGGAGTGCCTTTTTACACCCAGACTCCAGACCCTCTCCATTAATAGAGAAGCGTAGTCCTTGATCACTTTCCAAATTCTTGGAGTGGCTCCATCAAATTATTGCCCAACCCTGCATTAAGCTCTGATAACCACTCAGCTTCCACTTGGCCCTCATACAAGTGAAAGAACTTAGTACAGGGCTGGGCAAAATATGGCCTGGGGCCAGATCTGGCCTGGAGACCACCCTGCGGGGACCCTCAGACACAGCTGCCATGGTTTAAAACACGGTCCCTGTGGCTCTCTGCTGTGCAGGGAGAGGGAGGCTTCTGTGCAATCTCCTGCCCCAGGCCAATCTCTCTGCTCCTATTGGCTGGGAACAAGCCAGCGGGGGCCCCCCCC